GTCAATAAACACAAGTAAACATCTTTCTGGTATCCTCCACTTTCAGCCAAGATCCATCTGACATCAGCCATGATATCCCTCATTCTATGTCCTCCTCTGAATCCGGACTGAAAATTATCTTTCTAGTCTCTGCTTAAATGTCACTCCCTCAAGGATTCTGTCCCATCAAACACTCCACTGACTCATGCCCAGTCTAAATTAGGTCCTCTGTTACTCTCACATCGTCATACACCTTTCCCTGGCTGCGCTTATCCAATCTGTAATTATGTTTGCTTGTTTTTAATCTGTATCCCCCATAGACTATATGCTTCATGAAAACAAAGACCTGCGTTCTTATTGCCTATCACTGTATCTCCTGAACTTAACATATTACCTGGCTATATAATCAACAAGTATTTACTGAATATTTTTCTCTAACAAAGGGAAATATGAGTAACCTTTCTGAGGTCCCCTACCTCCAAGTTCTAGTTTTACCCCTCCCCATCCAGTACGTCCTAGGACAAGTCACTTCATCCCTGAGCCTCAGTTTCCCCATTATAAAACAGGAAATTAAAGTAACTTTTCAAAAAGATGAAACAAGATTGAATAGAAGTATTATCTGTGCCCTATGTCTTTGGGCATAATTTATTAAAATGAAACCTGTGAGAAGCAGAACTCGATGGGATTGCCTTGTTTTTCCAGGTCATACAAGCTTTTCGCCTTTGACAGGGTGTAGTCTTACCACTTCTCTATCGCTCCTTTCGGAGGAAAATATTTGAATTTTCCTTCCCTGACATTTTCTACCTTACACAGGTTTTACTGTACTTCTATAGTCAATCTGGGAGGTCCTGGGTGATGCTAACCGTTAAGCGCTCAGCTACTTAACCGAAAGGATGGCAGTTAGAATCCACTCAGAGATACCTTGGAAGAAAGGCCTGGCAGTCTACTTCCAAAGAAAACCCTAGGGAGCGCAGTTATACTCTGAAACACATGGGGTTGCCATGAGTTGGAATCCACTTGATGGCAACTGGTTTGGTTTCAATCTATGTAGTTTGTAAAACGGCCTGATCTTAGGCTTTAATAAAAGGTTATTATACCCTATCCCTTTATTCCCCTTAACCAAAGAAACTAAATAAACCCACACTTTTTTCTCCAAAGATATTTTAAAAACTACAACACAAACTCAACCACATGTTAATTTGGAAACAAACCTTCAAAACATTCTTTTATTCTTATGACCATTTTCTATCCCAGATCTGTGATCCCAGAGTTAACGTCTGCTTTTGATACCAAATTTTCCCTAAAGTTTAAACATGATGGAATAGAGAGCTTTAAAAAAGATATTACCTTCTTTACATAACTTCCAATATCCCATGATTAAGACCTCATTTAACCTAAAGAAACAATACTTGCATTAATAAGAAAATGAGACCACAGACTCAAAAAGGTCAAGATATATCTGTTTCATAACACTTGAAACTCAACTCTTCCATTAAATGACAAATTTTACCAGCACTCTTCCCCAAAGATACGTTCTTCAGGAATGTTTTATACAGTTTTCTCTTAAAAATTAAGGGAAAACAGAACAAGGAGAATACAAAACACCTGTATTTTTATCCCTTTAATAGACAAATTTCAGAAAGTAGGCCATCTTACTTGCAATTCACTGGAGTTTTATTTTTAAATGATTTAATACATTTTAAAGTTCTTTTAAATGAGCTTCATGCAAAGAAGGCACTCAGTAAGTCTTATTTATCCCCTTTATTTATGCCCTTCTATTCAATCCCTTCATGCCTTGCATTCTACTTTTCCATCTCTGAATTTAATCAAACATCTAGTATGATAGTAACAGTAACCACCATTTATATAAAAGGCATGCTTGGTACCACATCACAGCTACCTTGGAATATATATTACACATCTTAAATATATTATTACCCCATTTTGCAGATAAGTAAACTATTCTAAGTGAGTAACTTTTTTATGGAACACAGCTGTTCAGTAGCAAACTCAGAGTTTGTACCTAAAGTCCATATACTTTTTATGCCACGTTGTTCTTCAATCAAACAGAACTGAGAACTATCAACTAGTCTAATACACTGTCCACTATAACTCAAATACAGATCAGATGAAGACTTCTGCAAACAAGTATATGTTGTTGTTGGGTGCCAACTCATAGTGACCCCATGTGACAGAGCAGAAATGCCCCAAAGGGTTTTCTTGGCTGTAATCTTTACAGAAGCAGATTGCCAAGTCTTTCTCCCACGGAGGCACTAGGTGGGTCTGAACAGCCTACCTTTCTGTTAGCAGCCAATCGCTTAACTATCGTACCAGTAGGGCTCCTTGCAAACAAGTATTAAAAAGAAAAAAAAAAAAGCCATTGCCATTGAGTCGATTATGACTCACAGCGACCCTACAGGACAGAGCAGAACTGCCCCACAGAGTTTCCAAGGCTGTAATCTTTATTGAAGCAGACTAGTACATCTTTCTCCTGTGGAGCAGCTGATGCGTTCAAACCACCGACCTTTGGCTTGGCAGCCGAGCACTTAGCCAATGTGCCACTAGGGCTCCTACAGCAACATCAGTTGATGTTTTTAAGTAATGAAATGTTCAATTCTGAGCTAAAATCATAAAGCAAAACAAGAACCACATTTAGTATTATTTAATAGAACCACTGCTTTCCATTAGTATACATGTATTGACACTACAGAAAAGTCCTGATTATACACTTCTCATGAGTCAGAATTACTCGTCAGCAACTGACAACAACATTTCTCATCTCCAAATGTCTATTAAACATAACCAATTATCAAGTTTCCCCTACCAACATCACAATTAAGAACAAAGAAAAAACAAATTCTGATACAGGTAAATCTTTTGTGAAAATGGGGTTATAAAATAAGCATCACTTATCTATTTAAAAGACATGGTCCTTAATTCATTATATTTGAATGGTATAATGCCTGAAAAAAACCTTAAAGTCACTGGAGAAAAGAGGTATATTCATTCAAGTTCCAGTGTATAATAAACAATTACAGACTGTAAACTGTACACTAACACATTGAAAAAGAGAATACAGTATTTTTTATTCCAACAGGCCCTGTTAAGTCTTGAAGCATGGCAGCAAAAAAACTAACTGATAACAGTGGTTCTCTTACTTTCAAAAAAGTACTCGATAAGCTTCAAGCATTTTATATTTGTTTATACATTCTTCTCTAAGTAGTAAAAGTACATAAGCTGAAAAGAATCTAATCTTTTTCACTGGCTCAATTTCTAGATCTGTAAAAATACATAGTTTGAAATAGTGCAGCATGGCTGCTGAACTTCAGTTCTGTAATCAAATTGCTTAAGTTCAAATCCTTGCTCTACCAACAACTATTACCCAAAAACCCATTGTCGTTGAGTTGATTCCAACTCATAGCGACCCTACAGGACAGAGTAGAACTGCCCCATAAGGTTTCCAAGGAGCGGCTGGTGGATTCAAACTGCTGACCTTTTGGTTAGCAGCCAAGCTCCAAACAGCCTGGTATATTTCCTCCTCTGCAGTTTAGCAAGAAAAACTGTATATGCCTCACTGGTTTTCATGAGGATAAATTACTTAATACATGTTAAAAAGTTAATGTGGACGTGTTGATAATTTTAGAAGGTAGGTAATGTAATGGGCACACGGAGGTTCAGTATACTACTCTCACTCATAAGAGCTTCCATAATAAACTTTTTTAAAAAGTTTCAAATTGTGTTGGCATACACTAACACTCAGTACATGATATTTTCATTACTTTGCTGGTTACCTGCAAAGATTAAAGGAGGTAATACATGACAGTGTCCTGCATTGTGCCTAGAATAAACCAAAACCAAACCCGTTGCCATGGAGTCGATTCCAGCTCATAGCGACCCTATAGGACAGAGTAGAACTGCCCCATCGAGTTTCCAAGGAGCGCCTGTTGGATTCAAACTGCTGACCCTTTGATTAGCAGATGTAGCTCTTAACCACTATGCCACCAGGGTTTCCGTGCCTAGAATAGTAGGTATTTAAAAGAAGTTGCCATCTGACATCATCCTTCATAATCAGTATTCAGCAAATATTTGATCTTTTTATCATTTTGGACTTAATATTTAAGCATAAGTTACCACACTTATGACCCACAAGACACAGATCTACAAGTTACAATATCAACCCTCAGTGCGCTCACAAAATACAGTACGGCCAGAGTGCTGACTTCACTCATAGTTTGTAACTAGTTTCAACTGAACGAAAGACAATTTGACAGGTTTTTATCCTTCTAGCTCATTACAGTACTGATTTAACAAATTACAAGCATTAGATGGTAATTCTCAGTTAACACATTTAAGAACGATCCTTAAGTGAAGACCAATCTGCATATTAGATGGAGAACTAAGAGTATTAGAAGTGGGTTCCATGTCGTTTCACATAAACATAAGGAAAGACATGAATGAGATCTAGCAACTCATGAACCCAAAGGGTCAATATTTGTTTCTTAAATCAGAAACAAACAAAAAATAAATGTTTCTATTTTGTTCATCCTTTCGATCAATTATTCAGTGTAAAGAAGAATCACATACAAACAAAAAATTAAGTGGTTCTATTTTTCTAATCCCTTAATTATCCATCGCAAAAGGAGAAAAAACGTTAATGGTTGGCATTTAAAATGAAATAACCGCAATTCCCATTTTGGAACTCTAGAGGGCACCAGAAATATGCCCTCCTTCCCACCACCCCTCCTCCCGGGTAACGTGAGCAGCTGCAGGAGCCCGTCGTCTGGTTGCTGAGGTTGGTATTATTGCAGCAGCAGCAGAAGCAATGTCTGCAGCGATAGAAACAGCAGCGCCCACTCCCGGCTGCCTTACCAGTCATTACCCAGGCATTGCCCTGGGGCCAGATGCCACCCAAGGGAAAGCCCCTCCCCCTCAAAGCAACGGGGAGGGCAAATCCCACTACCGAACCCCTACGACATGAAGACGTCCACTAAAAATCAACAAATTCAGAGTAAAGGACTCACAATGGGGATGTTTTCCTCCTCACTTTCTGCCAAAGATGCACCAAACACGGCTGAGTCGATTCCTGGTCCTGGATAAGAGGAAAGATGAAATATGGATCAAGAACAGCCAACCAGATGGGAACACCAAACCCGTTCCACCAGAAGGAGGCAGACAAGGGAATAAGAGGTCAAGGATGTTCGGCCCTTTTATTATTACCCTCCACCCCGCGCCCCACAACACCCTCATATGTAAATAAGACGTAAAATACATATTGGGGGTCAAAAACCACGTGAAAGGCGAAATCTGGTAGGAGGTGCTGGAGGGCACCAAGCTTGCCCCTGGGGAAGGAAGGGGGGAAGGGCAAGACGTAGCCTCGACGCCAGGAAGGGATTGTATTCCCTCCTAAATTTACCCACCCAGCATCATCTCCGACACTCCAGAAACCAACTCGGAGGTAAGGGGGGGTTTACGTCTCCAATGGGCCGATATTCCCCATATTTGCCCCAAGCAGTTGCCCTGGGCCTAAGGTTTGCCCCCCCTGCAGTCGGCGACCGGCAGCGCTGCCTCTTCGTCCGCCATTAGAGACTCAGCCAAACAATACGTGAGGAGCAAAAGCCGCGCAGCACAGCGCCAGGAAAGAGCAGAGCAAAGCGGGGACCTGGCAGGGAAAAGGCGACAGCCCTCGCCCCAATAAACTTGGGGACCGCGGGCTACGGAAGAGGCTGGGACTACAGCCCCGAGAGCGGGAGAGCGAACGGAGGCGCCCCTCCCCCGCCTCCCCCCGCAGGAAAAGAAAGGAAAAATACCTCAGCGACCTCCCCACGGCCGCGGCCCCGGGCTACCCCCGCCCCGAGCGACCCCCGCCTCACCCAGCCCTCCCGGCCTCGGCCTCGCCCTCACCGCCCTTCGGGCCGCCCGGAGAGGCGCCGGTGACATGAACGGCTACCGGAGGAGCCCCCGAGGCCCCTGCTCGGCAGGGCGACGGCGGCCGCGCCGCGGGGCATTAATCCCGGGTGGGTGGGAGGCTCCGGAGGCTGCCCTCACCCATCTCCGCCTCCCCAGCCGCCTCCGCCTCCGCCTCCTCCTCCAGAGGCTGCGCTACTCCCAGCCACCCCCATTATCAGCGGACCTGGACTGGAAGACAGTGGGGCAAACCTCACCCGGTTCTGGCTACGGCTCCGCGGAGCGAACCTCCCCTCCCCCGGCCCACCCCCCTTCGGTAACACGCACAACTCCGCTCGGTCCAGTCCCGGGTTTATCGCTGGTGAGGAGGAGGAGGAGGAGGAGGAGGAGCAGGAGGAGGCGGCGGCGGAGGCGCTGCCGAGACCGTGGAGGCCCCGCCCCCGCCCCCTCATTGGCTGGCGGGGAGGGCGGGCTGCGGCACTCCCGCACGTCAATTGGATCGATCTGCCTTCCTTCAGGACCCCCCTCGATGAGGTGGGCCAAAGGGCTGTCCATTAGAGACAGGCCACACCCCTCGGCGTTTCCATTCCACTCCCTCCCTGCCACCCCTTCTCTTCCCGGCCAGTCCCCTCCTCTCCGTACCCCGCCCCCACCCCACCCGGGCCGTCTGGGTCAGGCGGACCCGACCCCCGTGGCATCCGGCCCCGGCCGCACGCTGGCTTTCGGGGGCACCAGTGGGCTCCCCAAACCAAGAACACCCCGAGAGACTGAAACTGGGGTCGTCCTCCCTCGCTCTGCCCTGGGAACGCAGGCCGCTGTAGTGGCCCCGAACGACTATGCCCGAGGAGAGACCCAGCCTCGATGCCCCGAACGCCCTCCCAGTCCATTCCTTGGAGCCCCTGCGGGCGAGGGGCACGGTGGGGAAAGGGCTGGGGCCAGGCAGAGTGGGAGTAGAGATCGAGGGCGCAGTGGGCTCCCTGAGTGCTCTGAGAGGAGTCGAAGCCCTTCCGCCCTCGCCTCGCCTCGCCTCGCCCCGTGGGGCAGAGTCCCCCACTCTCGTCATGGCTACAGCAGGAGGAGACGACGTCCTCCATTTTGTCAGGACGCTGTGGGAACTTGGGACCAGTTCAACGCCAAGCCCCGTGGGACTGGAGAGCTTGTCCCCGAGAAGCCCCTCTGGGCTCCGCCATTCGGCCGGGGGAGCCGCCCCTGCCTCGAGGGTCGGCCCCTGAGGGGCGGAGGAGGGCAGGCGCGACGGTGGAGGGACCCAGACGCCGCTCCCGCCTCCATCAACCAAGATGGAGGAAGCTGCGGGCTCCCCTGGAGCTGGGCTCCCTTGTTGGAAGGGCTGGAGCTTCCCCTGCGTGTCCCTCTGCGCTGCGGTCTTCCACCCCCGCAGCCTCTGTCAGGTGGCCTCCCCCAGCCTTCACCCATTCTCCTAACGGCCTTCAACCGTTTCCTGGTCCTCGAGGTTGGTGGAAGCGCCATCGCTTCGCCACACCTGGACCATCAGCACTGCAGGAGGCGCCCCATGCCCGGCAGCCAGAGGGAAGGCGCAGACCGCCATTTACCCCGCGCGGGTTGCAGGCAGAGCCCGTCGACGATGGGCTCTCCTTTCTGTTCATGGTCTACACCTGCTTAGGCGGACATAATGGTGCTGTACAATGGGCAAGATTCCACATTGAGATTAAAAACATGCCTCTCTCATCTCACCCTAGCGGTTGTTAGTGGGATTGCAAATGATGGTGTTGGGGAAATAAATGGATAGGGGTTAAAACTTCTCAGTTGTAAAAATCTGACACTGTTGCCTATTGATAAATGGAGTGTGATGTTACAATTTAAAGTTAATTGGTGATAACAAAGTTTTCAATGAAGTTAATCATACATCAAGGACTCTGCAAATACTGATGTGTAAACTCCAATAATGCCATTTACAGAGCATAATCTAGAAATTCACATTCATTAACCCATTATGAATAAAAATTAATGTAAGGCTATAGAATAACTATCAAGTAGTCCTTAAACCTGGAACAAAATTCCGTAAGTATACTGCTCTTTTTTTTTAACTGATAAAAATTCCACGACTTAACGTTTGTATACAGCTTTTATAAAATAGTATCACTTTTTTCCTGCAGATAAACTTCTTGACAATTATAAAATGTTTCATTTTTCAATAAAATAAAATCATTGTCTTATATTACACAGTACTGTTTTACCTTGGCATGATTGACGTCACCATCATCACAACAGAAACATCCTCTTAAATTTGAGGCAATATTGTAATATAATTCAGTGAAAACTTGTATCCTCCCTTTTCTTTTACCATGTACTATTGAATAGCTTCACCTCATTGAATTTATAGTGAGAAGGGTTGAGTAGAGATTTATTATGATTCGAATTGTGTCCCCCAAAAAATATATGCGTAAATCTTCACCTCTGTGCCTGTGGTTATAATCCCATTTAGGAATGGGTTGTCTTTGTTAATGAGACAGGATTAGTGTAGGCTGTGTCTTGAGCCAATGTCTTTGGAGATATAAAAGAGATTAAACAAGCAATAAAAAGAAGCGGAGATAGGGAAACAGATGCCAAGCCACCTTGATCATCCAGCAACAGACGCCAAGCCACCTGGACCATCCAGGGAAGAAGCTCAAAAGAGCAAAGGACCTTCCTCCAGAGCAGACAGAGAGAAAGCCTTCCGGAGAGCCAGCACTCTGAATTCAGAATTCTAACCTCATAAACTGTGATAAATTTCTGTTTGTTAAAGCCACCTACTTGTGGTATTTCTGTTATAGTAGTGCTAGATAAGTAAGACAAGTTACTATAAAATAAACTCTGTCATAGACTTAAATAATAGATTGGGTGGCCACATGCTGTTCAATTTGAGGAAACTTTATACTGCTGGTGAAAACGGTTAATGCTCATAAGTCGTCTGGTTCTCTGTTGTTGGTTGCTGGAGCTGATTCCCTCTCATGACAATCCTGTGTGTGAAGTAGAACTGCTCCATAGTGTCTCCACTATATATATTCAAGGCTATGTATACATATACAAGTCTGCATGTGTACATATATACAGATACATATATATAATACAAATAATATGTATGTATGTATATACATATGTACTTTTATATATACATACATATATATTATATATATATAGTCTTCTCATCCCTTGGGATCCCAATGATTCCAGCAAACCATTTCTTGCTTTTGTATCTTATTATAAACTTTCCCTTCCTCCAAATTCCTGTGGGCTTATAATTCTATAATAATAAAATGCTTGCTGTTGTATTCTTAACAGAGATTGATTTTCACTCTTCCTTCCCTGGTTCATGCTGGAGTATGGGGTCCATCATGTTCCTCATTTTATCTCCTTGTAGCATAGCCTACCCAAATGCCATCTAAGCTTTAGAGGTACTCCCTAGAGAACAAAAGCAAATTTTAAAAGAGAAAATTGTGTTACATGATTCATGTGCTCATTTCCAGCAACAAAATTGTATGGTTTTATAAAATCATAAAATGAAGATGTTTTTTAAGGCTTAATGTCTGCCCAATGAAGGGCTCCTTATATTATCGAAAATTTATTGAGTTTCTGTACTAGGTACCTATTCTCAAAGAGATGACAACCTAAAATACAGCAAGCCTAACAATTTTGAAGTATAGCATACATATATTTTTAATACGTTTTTTCTGTTTCCAAAGGAAATAAATATACTTTATTTCAGTTAAAAAAAACCAACTTGGAAACCCTAAAAAGTGCAAAGGAAAAAAAATTACCAATAATACTACCACCCAAACATAATCATTATTAACATTCTGATGTGTAGCCTTTTAATATTTTTCCACTTGCAGGGTGTTTTTTTATTTATTTTTTTAATTTTTTTTGTTTATTGTTGTAGTTTAAGTGAAGTTTACATTTCAAGTTAGTCTCCCATACAGAAATTTATACATACATTGTTATGTGACCCTAATTGCTCTCCCCATACTGTGACAGCACACTCCTTTCCACCCCTGATTTCCCACGTCGATTCAACGAGCTCCTAGCCCTCTCTGCCTTCCCATCTCACCTCTGGACAGAGGCCGCCCATTTAGTCTCTTGTATCTACTTGAGCCAAGAGGCACACTCCTCATAAGCATCACTCCATGTCCCACAGTCCAGTCCATTCTCTGTCTGAGGAGTTGGCCTCAGAAATTGTATTATTTCTGGGCTGATAGAGAATCTGGGGGCCATGCTTTCCGGAGTTCCTCCAGTCTGATTCAGACCATTAAGTCTGGTCTTCTTAATAGAATTTGAGTTCGGTACCCCACTTTTCTCCTGCTCCATCAGGGACTCTCTTTTTTGTCCCCCGTCAGGGCGGTCATTGGTGGTAGCCAGGCACCATCTAGTTCTTCTGGTCTCACGCTGATGAAGTCTCTGGTTTCTGTGGCCCTTTCTGTCACTTGGGCTAATACTTTCCTTGTGTCGTTGGTGTTCTTTATTCTCCTTTACTCCAGGTGGGTTGGGACCAATTGATGCATCTTAGATGGCCACTTGCAAGCTTTTAAGACCCCGGATGCCACTCACCAAAGTAGGATGCAGAACATTTTCTTAATAAGCTTTGTTATGCCAGTTGGCTTAGATGCCCCTGAAAGCACAGTCCCCAGACCCGTACCCCAGCTACTCTGTCCCTCAAACTGTTTGTATTCAGGAAACTTCTTAGGTTTGGTTTAGTCCAGTTGTGCTGACTTCCCCTGTAGTGTGTGCTGTCCTTCTCTTCACCTAAGATAATTCTTACCTACTATCTAGTTAGTAAATAACCCTCATCCTCCCTTCCCACCCTTGTAACCATCAAAGAATGTTTTCTTCTGTGTTTAAACCTTTTCTTGAGTTCTTATAATAGTGGTCTTATACAATATTTGTCCTTCTATGACTGACTAAATTCACTCAGCATGATGCGCTCCAGATTTCTCCATGTTATGTTTCATAGCTTCATTGTTGTTCTTTAACGCTGCGCAGTATTCCACTGTGTGGATATACCATAATTCGTTTATCCATTCGTCTGTTGATGGGCACCCAGATTGTTTCCATCTTTTCGCTATCGTGAACAGTGCTGCAATGAACATGAGTGTGCATATATCTATTCATGTGACAGCTCTTATTTCTCTAGGATAGATTCCAAGAAGCAGGATAATTGGATCGTATGATAGTTCTTTTTCTAGCTTTTTAAGGAAGCGCCAAATCGATTTCCAAAGTCGTTGTACCATTTTATGTTCCCACCAACAGTGTATAAGTGTTCCAGTCTCTCCACAACCTCTTCAGCGTTTATTAGTTTGTGTTTTTTGGATTAATGCTAGCCTTGATATCTCCTTGTAGTTTTGATCTGCATTTCTCTAATGGCTTATGATCATGAGCATTTCTTTATGTGTCTGTTAGCCCCCTTAATATCTTCTTTGGCTAAGTGCCT